ACAGAGGGGAACGGTGCGCTGGAGAAGCAGGGTGAGCTGATGACAAATAAAATGATTAAGCTAATTATTTATTACCTGAACTTAAAGAAAGAGTCCCCAGGTTTGTGTCATCCAGCCCCAGTGGCTTGCAAGCTGCCTGAATATGGATTTGCAGGCAGATCCTCCCATTTTGGCTCTGCAAAAATACTCGCCAGTTCAGGTTTGAAAGGTCGGTTTGGGCGGGTGGCAGCGGTGCCAGGGGGTTTGTCCTCAAACAAAGGGGCTTCACCCCTTAAACGCACCTCAGAAGAAGAGAGAAAAACACGTACAGATTTTAAGGAAAATGAGATGTAGCTTGTTCCCTTGACTGTAATTTTTAGCTCTATAATCAGCCTTAATTATTAACATTTCTAAGAAATGCAAAAAAAGAGAAAAATACCTCTGTCTGCATTCATTACTCACAAATAGATTATTTTATGATTCATTTAAATGATTCACATGCTATAATTAACACGAGCTCTACAGTTAATTGCATCTTTGCAAAATAGTTTAATAATCAGAGTAGAAACTTGACAGTCATTTTTTTTTAATCGCACATATGCGGCGAATGTTTTATATAAACTGCAGCTCATCAGAAACAAATACACAAATACATATTTCTCTGAAGACAACCTGAAGCAGGTAAACCTCGATAAAACGGATTTTTTTTTTTTTTTTCTCTGTAGTTGCATGAGCAAGGATGCTGCTCTGGAAGGGCACAGTCTTGTGGAATGAGCCGTTAACTGGTGATGCTTCTGTGAATTAGTCGATGGAGGTACACGGTAGCAGTGTAGAAGGATGAATTATAAAACTTATCTAAAATTGTTATAAAAAAAATCTTTTATCATCTTTAACGTTAGCATTTCTTTATCAGTTACTCTAAGATAATGCAGATGCATAATCTTCTATCGCTTATAACACTCTTACCACCTCGCTTAACTTTCTGTAAGGCTCGTAACAACGAGGCTTGATTTTGTCCAGCAACTGAAATTAATCTGAAATAATTCAACATTGGCAGACTAGTATTTGTGCGAAAATTTCTCAGGAATCGCTTCCACTACAGCAATGACACGAACTGATCTCTCGCTCCCAGCCTCCTGAGGATTAATTTTCATTTATGTTTATAAATCCTTTGGTTTTAAAATATTCTCCCTCCTCCCTTCTCACCTGAACCTACCCAGCCACTTCAGGATTCAAGATGCAACTTAAAAAAGGAAAATTCTCCAACCACCGAAATAAGACTGAAGCTCTGCTGCTGGCATCGTGTATTATCTGCAATATATAACCAGATTATTTTCTTTCCTTATAATCAGGGAGTATTGTTGCCCGAAGATAAGCAGCATCACAAACCAGCGCTGATGACCGGATGCACAGGCTGTCCAGCCTGGCCCTTCTGTGCTCACTGAAGGATTATTTTTATTATTTTTCCCACTGAATGATTAATTTTATTATTTTTCCCACTGATTTTTTTTTTTTTTCTCCAAACCATGGACGGTTCATGCAGCATTTGGGCAATATCTAGCACAGCGGGGTAAAAACCAGGGGCTCGAGTGTGGGATGAGAACCCTGGTGTGTGTCCTCAGACTGGTGCAAATTTTCTTGCACGACGTTTTTCCAGGAGACGTCTGGAAAATCGAGCCCCAAATGCCAACCGAGGGACAGGCAAACACACCTGTGCTGACCTGCCGAGCCGCACTCGGGTGCCGCCGCCTCTCCAGCATCACATCCCGGCAGGAAAAGCTCTCCTGCCTATTGCTGAGGTTGTACCTGTAAATAAAGCATCTAAAAATATGGAGGTTGTAGTGGAAAGTCTGGGGGGTTTTCACCACATAAAAAATACATACATACAGAAAAAGGCAAACGCACCAGAAGAAAACTAAACCAGTGTATTTTAATTCTACAAAAATGTATAAATATTTAAATGTACAGCAAAGAGTACCAGTATACCGTTTAATAACTGTTACATTTAAAACGTGTCATTCTTTATCCACAATCTACTTTTATAAATTTAATTTAAATCTGTGTTCCCAGCACTTATTCAGGAGCCTTTGTAAGCGCATCCTCCAAACCACCACACCTCAAGTCTTTTTTTTTTTTTTTTTTT